CGTGCAGCATGCTGCCGCCATCCTCCTGGAAACATTGGCATGCCACACGATTTGGCTACTACCCGAGGAGAGCGCTGGATTAACGGCCGTGTTTTGCAAATCAATGCCTGGCCATCCGACAGTGCCAGAGCAACAGAGCCTGGCATGAAGCGGCTCGTGCGTTCAGCATGAAACCGCCATCCTCCTGGCGCTAGGTTGCAGCTTGCCGAGCACCACCACCACCACCACCACCACCAAGGCACTGATTTAACGGCCATGTCTTGCTCATCGGGTCAGGGCCATCCAACAGTGCCAGATGAATAGTGCCCGGTGTTCAATGAAGCGGCTCGTGCGTGCAGCATGCTGCCGCCATCCTCCCGGCAACATTGGCATGCCACACGATTTGGCTACTACCCGAGGAGAGCGCTGGATTAACGGCCGTGTTTTGCAAATCAATGCCTGGCCATCCAACAGTGCCAGAGCAACAGAGCCTGGCATGAAGCGGCTCGTGCGTTCAGCATGAAGCCGCCATCCTCCTGGCGCTAGGTTGCAGCTTGCCGAGCCCTAACCACGAACATGCCCCACGCAAGCTGCAACGTCATCCTGAGTTCAACTGGTGAGCCCCCGCTTTCCCTTCCGCTGAGGTGCCTGCGTTGCAGGAATTCGCAGTGAAAGAAAACGAGCGCAAGGCCCGAGAGGACACTTGGACGAAACGCATTCTGTCATAGACCTGCGCGCAGAAGGGCTGGCTTGAAATCCATCCTCCGCATGTTAAAAGCTTGAAAACTGCTGCACCAGGGGGCTTTAGTGAAAACTTTAGTGAAACTTTGCCCGAGGAGTCGGACGATCCGATGGGCGACCTGACTCCCTCCCTGACGCGAAGGGCGCCAGTGGGGCTCGTGAAGTGGGAGGCCCGCCAGCCGAGAAAAAGCCAAGGACCGAACCCAAACAAAGAAAGCAAGCCTCTACTTCGGAGCTCTGCTGTGCCCTGGGGAGTAAGCCACTGCCGGTCGTTTGGTTTGGGGTGTTTGACCAGGGTCTGGGCTTGGGAGGCCTGGAGTAAAGCCTGCAGTAAAACCTGGTTCGAACGGGCACAGCCTGCTGGGTACTCCCACCTTCAGGTTTGGGCTTGTGCAGGGGCAGGAGTCTCAAGCTAAAGTAGAAGAAACATGGAGCAATTGAGCACCTTAGCTTTTAGGAGCGGTGATGTGGTATTCATCCGTCAAGCCTGGACTTAAGCACTGACCCTCGGATCTTACATCCAGGCACCTTTCCGAAAGCGTATAGCCTCAGCCCCCACTGGGCTCTAAATGCTAAACCGCTAAACTAAACGAAAGATTCAATCCTTCAACGCCACAGCGTAAACCTTCGTGCCTCGGAGCCCGAAGGCTTGCCAGCCCAAGTCTCCTGAATCCGAAACAATCCGAAAGCCGCCCCTAAGTTTGCCTGAAACTGAGACTCTAAAAAAACCGCCTCAAAGATTCCAAGTGCTGGAAGGTGAGAGATGGCCGCCTCCACTTTATCCGGTCCGAGCAGAAAAGGTCCGCGTTCGGGGGTTTTGAAGGGCTTCAGGATGCAAAGCATACGTCCAGTTGTGACCACCACAATGCGGCATATAAGCAGAATGCGAGAGTACGGTCAACCGGCATCAGCGATTTAACGTTCTAGCGTCCGAGCTTGAGCAAACACATTGCACGTGTGGCAGCTTTACATGTAGAACTCATCCTTCAACGCCAGCTGCTTAACTGACTCTACGCCAGTCTATGAGCTTCGTGGCAGCCCATGGAGTTGGACATCACTTCAAGACCCTCTAGCTCTGTTGGAAATTCAGTAGTTCCAGCACTTCTCCCAAAGTCTGATCTCTGAACCAACATTACCGGTAAACCAACCTCATGACTCATGAACCGAAACCTTCCCTGACGAAGCCCTGGTCGAGGCTGGAGCTGCCAGCAGTGGACCTCATGGTCAACACCATCGGTGCACTCCTCAGACTCTTCGGAGCCGGTTTCTGTGGGCCCGAGCTTCTCTTGAGAGGTGAGCGGCGCTGCTATCGTGCCCTGAGGTTATGCCACCGACCTTGAACGCATTGTGTGAGTTTGCACTGGCCAAAGGCGGCCTGAATAGTGACGATGCATGCTTTGAGACCGGGTGCTTCTTGCGTGCATCAATCATGCAGAAATGGCGAGAAGGCCTGTGGTTTCATTGGGTGGCTCGATGCTTCGTGGTCTTCGTGCACGCTTCCCTACTGTAGCTTCTCCACAAGCTCCGAGATCACCTTCTCCTGAGTTCCCTGCCTCTCTCTGTCTTGGAGGGAGAACCAGCTATGGTCCATGGTAGTATTTGGTAGTATGACATCACGGCTGCTGTAGCTGTTGGACAAATGGATTGAGTGCGTGAGCTTGGGACGTTGGAAACCCAGCCCAGCCTGAAGAAATGCTCAAAGAGCAGAAGCGTGAGCGATGGAAATTGCTGAGGACTTACGGGGGCTTTTCGGTTTTTGGCAGGCTCCATCTTGTTATGCTCTGATGCTCTTTCTGACAACTCAAACACGGACAGATGGCTCTAAGCATGCTCTAAGCTCTAAGCACGGAGGCCTCAGAGTCGCCCGCAAGCAGAGGCCGCGGCCGTGGGATTTCAGGGGCGGCAGCTACATGTTGGCCCGAATGGGAGGGGAGTTCTGTACCGAAAAATGGACAGAGGCTCCATCTGCGTGTCTGGGAATGGCACCGAAGAGACGAAGCCATGTAAGCAACGCAGCAACGCCATTCCTTGGAAAGCGAAAGCCTCCTCGGCGCCTACAAAGACTTCCGAGCCTTCTTTTACACCCGAGCCTGACCTTGAAACCCAACATTCCTCATTGGCTTTAAGGGCCCGATAGTTTCAAGTCTGCCAGCAAACATCCCATTTGCCATGGCCTTGGCGGCTGCTGCTGATCCTTTCTGCCTTAAGCCAAGGAGCCTCGCGCGCGAGGATAACGGCATGAGATTTGTAGAATTCCTGTCATCGCAGCACATATCTCGTGTAAACGTCCTGGTGTTCCTTGAAAATCCTCCTCCAAGCAATGCTGCTGAGACATTCCAAACCCTGCCCAGGCTGTTGCAAAGACCCTGGCAGCCTTTCACATGCCTTCCGCCCACCGAGAAACCCTCCCAGGATCTTCGCCCGAGCCGAGCTTCCCAGAGCAGCTCGTAAGCTCCATGGCGCTACGGGAGCCCTGCCCGTGGCTGCAGCAGGCAGAGAAGCTTCAGGACTTGGGGGCTCGGTTCTGGGTCTTGGGAAGTCTGGCTCTGGCGGCTTTGGCGATCTCGGATGGATCCATGGTGTCAGCTTGTCAGTGTCGGCCACGCGGGCTGTTTAACGTTAGGGAGGTTGTTTCTGAAGCCTTGCAGATAGCTAAGAAAGCCAAGAGAAGAGTGAGAAGAGTGTTGAGCACGCGTTGGGTTCGCCACTGCAAGGACGGGCACAAGAGGGTGCGCTGCAGGTTAGTGGTTCGTGATGTCTTGGACTGCAGAAGGGACACATCCCCGCAGTCAAAACCTACGCGACGAGGATCCACTCCTGAAACTTGGAGGCTTCGCCTGGGCCCAACTCCGCAGCGCACGGCGCTGCCAGCGGCCCCACAACGTGGATGCCTTGGCTTGCGAGATCGCGGCAGCTCTGCTGGCTTGCTTGCCGGCTCACTTCTTCTGGAGCCTGACGAGGATGAAGGGTCCAGTTTTGGTTTCATTCGCCATCGCCTGAGCTTCAACAGATGAGGAGTTTTGGTCCCGGGGCTTGCTGCAGGGGGTCACCAGAGCTCAAGGAGCGATTCCGGAGTTCGAAGGCTCAGACACCCCGGCTAAAGCTAGGCCATCAAGTTGCCATGTAGAGCGCTGGAACACTATGCCATGTCACATCATGTCATGCAGCCTAAATGATTCTTCGGGTGATGAGGTCCACAGCACTCGACATGGAGCCTTCTGGGCAAATCGCACTGCCAAATTCTGAAACTCTCCAGGGTCACAGGGCTGCCTTCGCCATTGGGCCGAGACTTCGAAAGCTTCGTATTGGGGCAAGAGCCGGCTTGAAAGCTCTTCGTGGGTATTGCTCAGGTGACACCGCGCAGTGAGGTCTCAACACGAAAGTTGCATGCCAGTTTAGCACAGAAGTTGCTTCAGATCCGATGTCTTGCCTAGAATCTCGAGCTTCTCCAAGCAGACTCCGCACGGCCTAAGGTGGTCGTGCGCTTCGCAGGGGATGCATTGCAGGATGACAGGCAAGACGACGAGGAGGCCTCCGGCGACGAGTTCAATTCTTCATTGTCTTGGGCCGTGTTTGGTCTTCCGTGCATGCCTCTAAGAAGGATTAGAGTATTTCTGACTCAGAGCATGGGGCCATTAGGGATGAGCGGTTCGGTTTCGTGCAGAGAATAGACACCGTCGTAATGGGTGCATGTAGAGACTGCAGCTGCATCTAAAGGGCGTCCGAAGCTGCCGCCCAGTGCTCTGAAGTCAACGCTTAGGGCTTAAAGCGGAGAGTCATTTGTGTTGCGCAAACAGAACTTAGTAGATTGAACAAATATCAACATGAAAAAGCATGAAAGAATGCGACATGAACGCAAACGCGTAAATTTTATAGTCAAGAGCAGAAGATTTTGAGTTCGCCAAGCCTCAGAGATCCTGGGAAGCCCTCTGGGGCCCACAAACCCTGAACTCAAACCTTGAAGAGCTCGGGAACAACAGCCTACGCCTAAGACTTGTCCCCCCAGGATGTCTTGGAGGACGGTACGCTCATGAAGCGCGTGGTGAAGCAAGCCCAGGATCGAGAGCGGGCGGTGTTGCCAACTTCGTCCCTGAGTAGTACTGAACACAGCACAAAAGCCAAGTGCTGCGACGCCGAAAGCTTGTGCTCAGGTTTCAGACCCCCTTAGTGTCTAGATGTCTAAAGTCTAAACAGTCTAAAGCCCAGATTCCAAAAAGGCGAAAGCTTCGGAGAACCGTAGGCAACCCGGGCAAAAGAGAGCCCAGGAGGGAGCTCCAGGCCCGCTCATGGGCGACGAGGTCACGGTGTCCTACGCACCTTGGCCACTCGCTAGGATTTGGGGTTTGGGGGTTTCGATTAGGAGTTAGTGTCTTAGTGTCTTTGTCACATGATTTGGAGTCTGGGGATGGGGCGTTCGGTACGAGTAGGATTGGAATTCGATTCTTTTAAAGAGCGGAGCGTCGCCACTCATGGCCTGCGTCAAGTTTTTGTTAATTCATCCTGGCCTTGAAAAGTAGGCGACAGGAGACTTTCAGATCTGCACTCTTCTGGGCTCCTGTGGTTTGCCTGTGCAATGCCTCTCTTCACGGTTTCAGGGCCCCCGGACCCCCAAACCAGATCCAGTTCCTTGATTCCTTGGACGGTAGATCCCAACCCTGGACCACAAATCGGTCCGGCATTTGGGGCCAGACGACTGCTCTCTCGGATGGCACCCGTGTGGAGTCCCTGGAGAGCCAGCGCCTCGTCTTGGTCAGGGTCGGCTTGCTGTTGCTTTGTGCCTTCCCTACTGTATCCAAGTCACTTGGTAATAATCATTGTGCCAACTGCAAAGTGTGAGCCAGCCGTGATTGTGTTGGTCAAGGCATCATGATGAAGAGAACAGCGATGATGAGGATGACGATGTCATGCGATGGCGATAGCAATGATGGCCGTAGTGATGATGAAGAGGGTGATGGATATTGTGATGATGATGGCGATGATGATGATGATGATGATGATGATGCTGTGACGTGTGGTGATGTGATGATGTGATAATGATGCTGTCGATTAGGATAATTCGATCAGGGCATGGTGACGAGGTCGATGATCTTGCTTGTGACGATGAGTCCCGGCCGCCGCCCGGAACCTTCAACCCCAGTTCCCTTAATTATGAAGCCCGCAATTCCATCAAAATCCTTTGACAACCCGATTCTTGCAAACCGTGCCCCCACCCGCCTCTTGATCGAGGCGAAAATGCAACCTTTAAGCTCGGTGCGGAGGAGGTCTTCCGGGGCTTCGACGAAGCCGTGGCCTCCCCGGTAATGTGCTTGAACACGACCGAATAAAAGCATGTTGGACCTCATACTTCGCAGAACAAGAATCGTAAAGATATTGGGTGCCCACAAGCGTAACAAGTACATGAAGACATAGAAGACTTGTAGGCGCAAGCAACTCCCTCGGACGGGCCGGGAAGTGGGTGAGGTAGGCAGAGTTCCTGCATCGCAGGTGGCAGCTTGGGAAAGCTTGGTGCTTTAGGTTCTGACGACTTGTGGCTGCGTGTTTGGAATCTCGCAAATGACGGACCAGAATTTGTGTCAACAGGTGTCGTCAGAGATAGAAATGCTTCAGTCGTGCAAAAGAGAGGTTGAGCTAGAAAGTTTGCATTACATCTGACAAGATGCAGAAATCGTTTCTGACACAGCAAGGCCAGGCCTAGACGTCTTGACACCACACTCCCGCCTCTACTGCCAAGGTGGCATCCATGCGCCTCTGCCTTGCACCTTCAGGATTTCGGATGCAAGGATGAGGGTTCGGGTTTTGGAGGCAGAGTTTCTTCGTGTGGTCACCATGCCTCGCTTGTTAAGGTAGCGCGTCTTAGGTGAAGCACAGGATCACGAAGCTCGTGGGACGGCTCGGCAATGCACCCCTGTAGCTCCTGAAATGTAGCTATGAGGAATGCACCCGGCTTATGAGGGCTGCAAGCAGAGTCCAACATGCCGCGGCCCACGTCCCAACAACAAGCGGTCCCGCAAACTTGGACCCACGTGCATTGGCAATTCATGTAGGTTAGATGTGGAGGCCTCTTCAGAGACCCAGTAGATGTGTTTGTACACACACACACACATATATATATATACACGTGTTTAGGGAACTTCAGAATGATGCAGAAGATTTATCGGATGCTTTTCAACCTGCTAGAAGACAAGATGAAGTCCAGGAGTCTTGATCCTCCACAGGTGCTGGGGCGAGCGCGCCGTGTTCAGCGTGGCGCCGGACCTGGCTTTGGGCCAGGCCCCAACCCCGAAACATTTGGCTAATCTTTAACGCCCGGAGAATTTTAGACACGGGTTTGTGCAGAACGGCTCTAAATTGTAGGGTCTCCGGCACAGCTGTGAAGTTAGGGTTCAAAGCTCATGATCCCGGTTTCTGATCATACACTCTTTGTCACGAGATCTTTTCTGCCTATCGTTTGACCAGGATGGTTCGGACGAGGTGCCACCCAATGCCACGCTAGGCTCGCCACGAAAGTAGGTTGAGTCTAGGAAGGTCTGCCCTGAATGTCAGACTCTTGATTCGGGCGTCCGGAGTTCGACAGTTTGGTGGTGCAGTGAGATCTACGGGTCTCAAGCCATAAACAGAACACATTTTGGATTGGGCTCCACCCGCATACTCCTTTATCTCTGGCTTGCATCTTCACACGCGACAAAGGGCAGAGAGCTGCGAGCTTAATGCTACAAAGGCAGATGGGAAGGCATTCTCTTGACTGTGCGATCATGGTGTGATCATTTCAACAAGAATGCGGCTCAACAATATCACTCCTGCGAAGCGCAAAACCATGCCCATACTAAACCTCGAAAATGAGATCCAAGACTCCAAACCCCCGAACTAGAAACCCCAAACTAGAATTCTGAACCCTAAACCCATCTTGGCCAGTTATTGACGTCGAGCTCTTGAGCTTCGTTGAAGTTGAGGAGGAAGACGAGGCGAAAGATTTCGGGGTTGCAACGCTGTCCCCTAAGTGAAACTCTAGGCCGACTATGGCCCACAGGCCTGGGTCCCGTAATCTCATCCCCTCAACAAGAGGACCTACAGACGCAATTTCCGCGCCGAAAGATTCAGGCGTTGTCATTTGGAGGTTCATGTGGAGGCTTCGGGGATCAAGGGTCCAGGGGATTCGTGTCCTCGGGCATGGGGTGTGAGGGATCGCGAGTTGGGTTCGTCTTTGCACTTTCCAAGTGGCGTGGCTCACGAAATTGTGGAACGGCTTGCGCATGCTAAAACAGCCCCAGCTACCGGAGATCGAGACATGCCGCAAAGAGGTCCGGATCTTCGTGTCAAGATGACAAAGTTGTCGTATGCAAGGAGCAGGACAAGTGCCTTTAGCCATACCCTCGATGGCTGGCTGCATAAACCGGAACCTCTACTGGGCCTGATGAATGTCCTATGTCCAGCATAGCACCGACACAACATCAAAGGTACGCACATCCGAGATCCAAAACTGGCCGTAGTGGCATGTTCGTTTCACTGGCAGAACGACTTCGACCTGGACGGCTTTGGGCGCAAGGCACAGTCAAAGAAGTTGCTCTGGTCCGGTAGAAAGTGTCGTGGTGTAGAACCATAGTAACAAGGCTTGCCTGGCTTCGATTAGGCAGATCCAAGAACAACTTTTCTTTCTCGTTATCTGAGAACTGCTGCCTCTAAAGCAATCACTGGAAGACCCCTTTGTTTGCTTCTGACCGCATGGGAACCCCAAAAATGCACAGCATCACTGGAAAGCACTGGAGACCTTTGGCTGCTTCACCCTTGGCCGCGACCAGAACAACCACAACCCCTAGACTCACACCGTCGAACATACAGACGACATCATTGACTCGAGATCATACCCGGAGGTGCCCCATTTGAAGGTTTCAGGCCCGAGATTCGAACAGAGGATCTGGGTCCTGGTGGCGAGGATCCAAATGGCAGGCCAGTGGTTTCTTTGACGTGTGGAAGAAGAGGCTTAAGTTCAGGTTCGTTGTCTCGCTTAGGACCTTTGCCTCAGCTTTCGGAAGCACGAAAACATGTCAACAGCTTCATGTCACTTCCTCCCGCACCAGACCCATTTGTTTTTTTGGTGGTCTCGGCTTTCTGAGAAGAAGATGCTTGTTTATGGATCAGGCTGGTGTCGAACCATCCAAAGGTCCGCAACTTCCGGTTGGAATAAGGGGTTCCCTGGGCATCTGCAGGTACATCTGGGAGCGCTGTGGCGAGGCACCTGTGGTCTTCGGAAAGTACGCAACAGGATTTTTAACGTGCATCAGCAACTAGGTTCTTCTTGAACCTCTCTGTTAAGAACGATATAATATGATCACCAACCGGGCATCCATCTTGATTGGGCCGGTGTCGATCCTGCTTGTATTTTCTAGATTGAGTTACGGGCTGTCGAGGGGCTTTCGTAGAAGTCTCATGAGTTGTCAGTTTTGTTCGAACGGTTTTTGTTTTTTTGGGGCTGGAAATCTGAGATCGAGGAGAAAGGCCGGCACCCGTCAGAGATGTTCCTGAACCTGCCGGTCCGTTGACCTTCCAACTTTGAAGGGCCTTAGCCCGCGAACGTCTGTTCATCGTGAGCATGCCGGGTCTTTTCATGGGTCTCCGACCTGCAGAGGGCACTTGAATCACTTGAAGGTTGTCCCTTGCAGGTTTTAGGATGCGCAGGTCTCGTTGAAGGCTCCGGCTTCAATCATTTTCATCCATAGGCTTCGGGCTTGAATCTTCGAGCCTCGAAGACACCTGTCAGTTTAGATCTTGGCAGCCATGGGCAAAGAATCAGGCCAAGGTACAGGCTCCAGGGGTCGAGTCGGGGGGGCCCTAAACCCTAAACCCTGAACCCTAAACCCCAAGTCTTCCTGGCGGTGAAGAGGGTCGTGATGGGCGTGATGCTGTTTCGGGCTCACATGGGCATGAACAAACCACGGTCGAGGGTGCTGGCGCCGACGCTTCGGGTTCGCATAGGGATGGAAATCAAGCTGAGGAACGTGCTTGTGCCAAGGGCCTGAGACGCAGTGTGACGATAGCCAGTTGGGGATGCCTGAGTACTGAGTGAGCAAGGGTCAGGTCAGCAGATACACAGATGATGCCATATCCGTCTGTCGTGTTGTTAGGGGCACAATGGGGCCCAACAGCCTGCCCGAAAGGGTTGGAAGGACGCAGCTGCAGACATCCAAAAGGCCCTCAAAAAAAAAACCCAAACCCCTCCTAAGTCCCTAAGTCCCCGCTTTGAAGGAGGTCCTGGTAACCCATCGCCTGGCCGAGGGCCTTGGCAAAGCGGACGCTTTGGCCCAAAAATAGTGACCAATGCCACTTTCTTGGGAGTTCCTTATTATAGTTAATCATAGTATACTAAATAACTACCAATACCATTTGTTGGGGAGTTCCTTATTGTAGTTATAGTATACTCTACCCCAAAAACTTATTTACTAAGTGGTTTAGTCTGGCTTTGAGCTTCGAGGGAAGCACACGACGAGAGGTAGGGTAGCCTTAAGCGTGACGTCTACCAGCCCGGTTTTTTCGCGAATCACTCTGTTTTGCGCGCACTGCGCACCTCCTATGCAGCTTCGGAGAATCCCTTACCCCTTATCTTAGTCTTCGTTCCTATGTTTTTGGTAGGATACCACTAAGATTACAGGATCCATAACCGGGATGGATTAGGGGAGGGCGGACTAGGGAACCATGGAAGTTCTGGGGAGAACAGCATTTCTAGGCCGAATGCCCTGTTTGGACCGCGTTCCTTGAAAGATCGCTATGGCCACCTAAGAGCACCCTGAGCCCGCGTTCGCCCTGGAATTCAAGGGTCCTATCCCGTCCCGAACCGTTCCCGAGCAGCGCAGCTTCCCTGGCATCCTAAGACCCGGAGAAACACGTGGAACACAGGAGACTCTGATCTGAGAGAAATACATGTCGTGTCATGCTAGTGTAAACAAGCTGTACATTTAAGACCTAACACCACCTAGCACTCCGATCTCACGAGGGGTTTTGGGTTTAAGGTGCCAGGAGACCTAGCCCTGAAGCTCAAGGCAAAACTCTGTGCGAGTTTGGCTGGGTTTTTCATCATCTGGATTCTGGATTTCGCGATTTCAGAGAGCCCAGGGCTACAGGGTCTTAGCCTCTACCTTCAGGATATCCAACACGAGTTTATGCCGGGCCGCATCTTCATGGCGGTGAAGGGTGAGGTGCGGTTTGCTTGGAGGGTCGGGGCTTTGAGCTCCTCGTGCAACTTGGTGGAGCTTGGCTTGGGGTCGGAAGTTCTAGGAGTGCAGACGGCGACCCCTGAACCAACGGAAAGAAGGCCCACTTTCTCTAAGCTTGCGAGGTGCTGTTTGCTGGCGAGCCAGGTTGTGAGATCGACGAGGAGGAGCTCGAAATCTTGCCAAAGTGAATTGACTGTTGTTGCCTGAGACGCAGGCCCTGCAGCCTTAAAAATTAATAGTCCTGGTGCAAGCGGGCGAGCAGAGCCAGCCCTGCCAAATCTCGATTCTCTCCTTCTCTCTCTCTCTCTCTCTCTCTCTCTCTCTCTCTCTCTCTCTCACTCTCACTCTCTCAAACAGATAATGAAGAATGGTCAGGAGTCGTTTTGGGAGATCGATGAAGATGAGGAGGGCCAGGACCTCAATTTCGGTGTGGCTCTGTGCTGGCAGCAAAATGTGGTGCCAGGGCATCAGTCGAGTTCTGCCCACTGACCTGTGTTACACAACGCCGCCCTCACCTGCCAAGATGCAGCTAAACTCTTAGAAGGCGGAGTGGAACCATCTTGCTACAAGTTCAAACGTAAGGTAGTTGTATGAAGATGAGTCGATCATGGGAGATAAGATTTGCGTAGATTTCATGCTCGGCGTTGGTAAGGCCAGCGGTGCCTCTTCGTACACCTGAAGAAGTTAGAGGAGGACACGCGGTGGCCAGCCGAAGCCCCAGCAATAACGTTCTCTGGGTTAGTTTGTTTTTCGCACTATGCTCACGTAGCCGCACGAGCATGAGGAGCGTCAAAGCATGCTGGAATTCAATGCGACGAATCAGGAATGATCGAGGAAGTAGCTTTCTTACGCGATGGCTTGGGAGCAACTTTGTCACTGCGATGTAGCGCAAAACACATAACGGCAGCATCAGATCTCTGAATCTAGGAACGGCTTTGCCGATGGGAAGCCTTGAATAAAGCTTCGGTGCAGCCCGAACGAGACTATAAAATCAACCAAAGGAGTAACCAGCAACATCTAGAACCGATATACGCCCCACAACGACTTCCAGTCCGAAACGAAAGCAGAGGCAAAGCCGCCGATATAAGGATTGGAGCGGTGATGACTTTGTTTAGGGCTGGGTGGACGACTCCAACCCTAAGGATTGAACCGTTCTCGCCCTGCTCCACACTATCACAAAACAAGGCCTCAACCTTACCAGCAACTAGGCTTACACAATCACTTCCACATATTAAAAACTGCTGCCCGCGCCATCTGATTCTGGGCTGACAGCAACACGTTAGAGTAACTCTTTGGTTCCACCCGATTCATAAAGCATGGAGGATTAGGGTCATGATCGATACCTGTGTTGCGAGAAACCAGGGTGGCAGCCAAATGAGTCTGAACATCATTAGCTTGTAAGATGAAAGGCCCTAGTTCTGCAAGTTTTCTCTTGGCTTCCACAAATTGAGCACATGCTTTAGCAAGTGCGTCAGCGTTTTGGCTCCCCCTCGTGAAAGAAACCGGCTGAGCAGTGGCTGTCTCGCGAAGGTAAGCTTTGAATTTCTGAAAACACGATGCCTGTTGGAATCTCTGAGCTCTTGAATAAAACAGGAAAAATACACCAGGGTTGCCAAGCGCTCCTAAATCGTTGTCATCAAAGTCGATGACGTGGCAATGCACAAGAGTGATATTTCCTTTGGGTTAGCAGCGGGAGCAGCAGGAGTAGAAGGAGGAGCAGCAGGAGTGCTGCCTGCGGCAAACAGCGTCGCAGTCGTCGTCGTCCTAAGTGGCAAAGAAGCTTGACAGATCAATTCCCACCACTGAAGACGGTTGTGCAAGCCACAGAAGCTGCAACGACCTGCCATATGGGCAAGAACCACTTCCGGTTGCTTGTGCTACCACTGTATGATATTTTTGTATTCCAAACCCCCAGCAACTCTGCAGAAGTCTCGTCGTTAAAACCAACAGGTGGCTGATCACCACGCCGGATATAATGGAAGGATTCTACATGTCCTACCCTGTTCGAGGATGTGCTCGTTGAAGATCCTGAAGATCTGATCGATGCTACTGAGCCATGAAAATCATATGATTGAGTAATTGTCAAATTCGTTGGTTTTATATGAGAATGCGCGAGATGTTTGAACTGTCATTTTGTTTATTTATGAGAAAATATTTGCGTGCTGGAGTTTAAAGATTCCCGTCACATTTCCAAACCTGTTTGAATATTGAGGGGATCCATTCCGGACGTGGTCTTTAACATGCCAGTTGTGGGGCAAAGTATTTTGGTAGTGGTCGTGTGAAGTCTTTCTTGGTGGTTTCTTGATGGTTTTGGATGATTTTTGGGTGAACTCCAAAAGGTAATTTGATCTCTTGGTGATTTTTGTTACAATTTTTGTTATGTTATGAAAACGATTTGAATATGTTGATATTGAAATGATAGGTAATAATAATAAGATCTTTAAATATGACGATCTTTATAATTATAAGAAATAGAATCTATGAGAAATGAATTAATTATGTCATTAGAATAATTCTATATTAATTGAAAGAAATATAGAAATATAAAAAAGATTTTGATAAATTTAAGAATAGACTAGAATTGTCTTATTTATGATTATAAGAAGAGATTTTTATTGATAAGATTCTTGAGAAAAAGAATCTAATTTGATGAATAATATGAAAAAATGGAGAAATTATTATATTATGTAAAATTTTCTTTGTTTTTTTATTATATGTATTTATAATAAATATTATACGATTATTTAATTGAGATTCATAATGAGAATTGAATGAGAAAAATAAAGAGATATAAATTAAAAAAATAAAATAAAACAATATCGATTAATTTCTATTTAGACTGGTTTAGAGTAGAAATATTTTATATTTTATGAAAAGGAACAAAGATTTAATTATATATTATTAAATTAAAAATTAAATATTTTACAAAAAATATGAATAAATAAAAAATAAATATATTTATTTTATCTGGCCGATTTTTGAATTTTTCTAGTTAAATTAACTAATTTTCGAAATTTATAAGGGTTTAGGCGCTTTAAACTCTAAACCCGACTACGTCGGAATCTAAATTAATATTAAATGATATTTTGCAATGATTTTTTTTTTGATTTTCGAAAAGAATTATTTTATAGAAATATCTTTTAAAATAATATAGTAAAAATAGCAGATTAAAATATTAGCTAAAATATAATATTATTCCCCATAATTGAAAAAATAAACTAATTTATTTTCTCCTATATA